TTGTGGTGCAAAAGATCATGACATTAATATAGAAATTGATCAATTACAACTTTATGAAAAAGTTCTAATACGTGGTCATTGGTATCATAATGAGTGTATTCAAAAGATGGATTTTAAATGTCATTATTGTTTAAATTATCTTGTAGATGGAATTAATGTATTATCATCCACTTACAATGATAGATTTGAAAGTCAAGTTACATGTATCCAAAATAGTAAATAATAAATTGAAATTTATTTTTATGCATTTTTTTACTTGACATTCTGGCATTAGTTTTTGTTTGTTACATCCTATAATGATTTAAATTATCGTAACGGATAAAAGAATTAGCAGCCAATATTTTTGATGATGATTTACACGACTAAAATTTTTTCCAATGCACACGATAATAATATTGTTCGCTGTAATCTATTATCATTGAAAATCGGAAATCGAATCTTATTGATATAAATGAATATAAATACAAAGAGTGTATGTAGTGGTAAAGTTGGGGTTTTTTTTTAAAAAATAATAAAAAATCATATTTATTGGTTAGTACACGTACGTGTGTACATCACATTTACTTTTTTTGGTTAAAAATCGTTTCTCTCTTTTTTAATTAAAAAAAAACCAAAATTAAAAATATGGAATTAGACCCTAAACCTCCTAAAAAAAACAAAAAAACAACTAAAATGGAATATAGGTATTTAGGGCACAGCGGGCTTAAAGTATCGGTTCTTTCTCTTGGTGGGTGGGTAACTTTTGGTGGCCAAGTTTCTCCTGGTAATTGATCGATAATCTAATTCATCACGATTAAGCTTGATATATACATTTTTATTTTAAATAATTTCTTTTTATAATAATAATAGAAATTACAAGAGAATGTATGCAAGTAGCGTTTGATAATGGAATAAATTATTTTGATACAGCCGAGGTATATGCCGGTGGGAAATCTGAATTAGATATGGGTAATGCAATCAAAATGTTGAATTGGAAACGTTCAGATTTTGTAATATCAACAAAAATATTTTGGGGTGGAAAAGGCCCTAATGATAGAGGGTTATCTAGGAAACATATTGTCGAAGGGTTGAATGCTTCTTTAAAAAGATTAAGTTTATGTTATGTAGATATAGTATTTGCACATCGACCAGATCCTGATACTGTAAGTTGATAATGATGATTAATGAGATGATTAATGGTTAATTGGATCAATTAGATTAAGGATCAGAATTACTGATTAGGATCAATGATGATGATTATTTTTAACTGGATCTATAAATCTTTTTAATACATATTTATTTATTTTTATTTTTAGCCAATGGAAGAAATAGTTAGAGCATTTAATTTTGTGATTGATCAGGGTAAAGCATTTTATTGGGGAACATCTGAATGGCCTGCATATCAGATCGTTGAAGCACATGGTATAGCAAATAGATTGGGTCTCATACCTCCATTGGTACATTAATTGAGTATTACTATTACCTTTATGGTTTATTATTAATAATCAATATCACAATTATAATTATAATTAAATATTTTTCTTCGACTTATAATAATGATAATAATATAATAATAAATTAGGTCGAACAAGTAAGTTGACAATTAATTAATGATTTAATTATTTAAATCATCAATCAATCAATCAATCAATAAAATCAATCAATCAATCAATTATCAATCAATCAATAATCATCATAATCATAATAATAATTATTAATGTCATCATAATTATTATTATTACAGGTACAATATAATATGTTTCATCGAGAAAGAGTTGAAACCGAATATATTCATTTGTTTAAAGAATATAAAATGGGAGCAGCCACATGGTCACCACTTGCAAGCGGTATTCTAACTGGTAAACATAATAGTCAAATAGCCGAAGGTTCGAGATTAAATCTAAAGGAGAATGCTGTGATGCAACGTTTAAAGGAAGGATTGTTGAGTGATGAAGGGAAAAAAATTTTTTTTGTCATTAAAGTTCATTTTTCAAAAGCAGTTCGTTATAAAGTTCGTTATACATAGCAAAATTAATTAACAAAAAATCGAGACCAACACCTTAGTTCATTATAGAGAGCAGTTCGGTTTTTGGAGGTTCGTTATAGAGAGCTTTGGCTGTATCACTTAATATAATCACATTGTAAATTTTAATCCCTGAAATTCTTGGTAATACCAATTACAATGTTCACTTTGGTTTTGTTACAGCATGCCCCAAATGATGTTTAGATTGAATCTTTTTACAAAAATAAGAACCATCAACAATTTCGATACAATAAATTGCTTAAGATACAAATCTTTCACTGTTTCTCAAATCCCAACACCATTTACAAAACAAACAAATATCATGTATAAGCCTACATACCCGTTATCAAATCCAAAGGAAGGAGATCTTAAACCAACAGCTGGTAGAAGTGTACCTGTAACAAATAATAATGTACTACAATCTTATAGGCGTGTAAACACCATACTTTTTCTTAATAAAACAAGACTTGAGGTAAGAAGAAACAGGTATTATGAAAAACCAACTGTAAAACGTAGACGAGTAACAAGAGAAATTTCTGAACAACGGTTCAAAGAAGCTGTAAAGAAAAAAGTTTCATTGATTTTGCAAATGAAACAAAGGTAAAAAAAATAATATGGGCAAGCATCTGCACAAATATATCGATCGATCTGAATATTAACGAGAGAAAAAGTTCTCCCACGAAATTATATAATGTCTTATCCGAAGAGGTAGTGGTTAGCCCAGCCACTAGAAATCACCACAACGCACCTCATTAGATAAAATCGAAGCTTGGGTTGAGAGAGAGGGTAAGAAAAAAGATAATTCCATTACAATTAGCAGTAGTAGTATAAATGATTTTTCGAATAGCAATAGTAGAAATATAATTTTAGATGATAATAATGAAAATAATGATAATGATAGCTAGTAATCGTGAGCCTAAAGAATAGGTACCCTTGTAATGTATGATCCATACCAAATTGGATCTACTACATAGAAGGGAATTTTACTTTATTTATATATAACTTTTTAATATATATATATATTAAACTAAAATTAAATTAGGAATTATTATAATAATTATATGAGTGTGTATGGATGGGTATGTATGTATATGTTTGTGTTATGATGTGTATATTAAATTATGTTTTAATTAAAATGCTATTAATTAAAGAAAATAAAAAAATTCAAAAAAGCTTCGTCAACTTAATTGATGTTTTCCACCACTAACGGTACCTTCTTGCAAATATGAAGGTTGTTGTTGTTGTTGAATTTTATTATTTTTAATTAGGTTTTTATAATTTTTTAAAATATCTAACCCACCGGCACCTTCACTATCATCAACATCAATGTTATTTGTGTGACCGTTAACATTACTATTATTGTTGTTATCAACACCATTACTAGTACCGTGATCGATATGATCATTTTTTAAATTTAATATTAAAGTTCTCATAAATGTTTGCTCGTATTTTGTGTTCTTTAGTATCACTCCTAAATGATCAGATGGACATCTCAAGAAATTTGGTGCAAAAATCATTGCAAGATTGCTTACATGCATTTTTGTAATTTTACAAACTTCTGGCTCTGCAAATAACTGTATTTGTAAAAAGAAAAAGGACAAATATTAAAATTAGGATTTTTAAACCTTTCGTAAAAAAAAAAAAAAAAAAACCCGCCCATACACCATCAACCGCTTTATCTTCAAAATCAACAAACTCGTACCTGTAGAAAATTGACGATAAAAATGACAATTTTACGATTAATCTCGGGTAATTGTTTAATTATTTCTATGGTTTGAACCGCATCTTCAGAATTATTTATACATCTTTCATAAAAATCGTTTGGTATTAAAGGTTCAGCCAATTCTCTTAACCAGAATTTTAATAATGAAGCAGGGACATGTGGATCTGTTATTCCGGCTATATCATATTTATTCTTTTCAATCCTTAATTTCTAAAAATTGAGATTTTGGAAAAAAAAATTTTTAATTAACTAGGTAGGTGGTGAATTATTAATTGAATAAATAAATTGACATCACCATTACTACTACTACTACTATTATTTTTAATTACATACCAATTCAGTTACATAATCAGCATCACCGGGTACTCTAAATATTCCTTCAATAGATTGACCCCTTAAATCCAGTATCGAATCAGCAAGAAATGGTAAAATTCTTGGGATTTTAAGAGTTGGTAAAGTTTGAGACTGAAGATCCATTATAAATTCCAAAGTTTCACCAAACACTGATGGATTAAAAGGTGCAACCATTGCTCTTTCTATTTCACCCAAGGTCAAAACTTTTCCTCTTGGACCTTTTTTACATATTCTTGTCAATCGATTATAAACATGTTTACTGTAAACATCGATCTGATTTTCTTTTTTATTGAGATTGTCACTAATAAATCTCATCAAATGGCTCTCTAGATTTTTTGATGGCGGAAAAGTTATCGTGATGACACATAATAATTCCCAACCTTTTTTAATGCTTACACTACACAATGTGATGTAAAGATGGGATGTGTAAGTTGGGGGTTTAAAAAAAAAAAAACACACTGCTAAAAAATACAAGTATTTTTAATTTCACCTGCTTGGATTATTGTTTAATTGTTTATAAATTTGCACATAGATTTCATCTCTCAATTCACCAAGAAAAATGCCTCGATCCAACAACCATTGAATACTTAGTAGTTGATTCTGTTTACTATGAGGACCACTACTAATATCGCCGTTAATATTATTGTTAATAGTGCTGATATTATTATTAAGATTTAGACGGCCTCTTGATCTATCACCCATAATATATCGAATAACTTTAAAGCATTTTATTGCATCTTTTTGAATATTTTCATTTAGAGGAAGTAAAGGTTGTCTGATTGAATCTTTTTGAAATAACAACATTTTCTCAACTGGGACTCTTCTTCGAAATATTCCTTTCTTATGAGTTACAAAATACTTTCTTGCAAATCCATCGATTGAAAATTTATTAATTTCGTTTTGTAATTCTGGTGGGAGCGTCATAACCTCTCTACTATAATAATAGAGAGAAAGTAGGAGAGGAGAGGAAAAAGAGGAAAAAGTAGAAAAAGTAGAAAAAGTAGAAAAAGAAGAAAAAAAAAAGAAAATGAGGAAATAAAGGGCGAAGAAATAAAGAGTAAAGAAGGAGGAGAATGAAAAGAATTGAAGTTAATTAAATAATTTAATAAGAGTGATAAATAAAATAATAAATCAAAGTAATAATAATTTACCCAGTACTTAAACGTCTCGTATGATAAAGAAATTCTTTTCGGTTTTCTTTTGTATCGTCAATATTATTTTTGTGAGAAGCTATTGTTGGCTTCACTGTTGTTTCTATTTATAATCATAAGGAGATTTTTTTATAAATAATATATCTTAAAAATAAGGTTTTGAAAAAATTTTTTTTTTTACTTTTTCGGGGAAAATTGAATTAAAAATATTTTTAATTAAAAAAATATACGCGCATGGTGTGTTATGTGGGTTGTGTTTATGTATGAAACGCTGATCACTTTTAATTATTAATCATGATGATGATGATGATGATGATCATCAACATCATAAAAAAAACAAACTTACCAAAATTGACGGATGTACCATTTATTTTGGCATCATCATTCGATTTTTCAGGGACCATTTTTTTCTGGGGATTTTGGGTACTTTCTTTTTCCTTTAATTTGACATTTGTTTCTTCACTACTACTATAGTCATTAAGTTTTAATTCAAATTTTAAATCTCTCTTGAAGATATCATCATCATCATAATCATCATCATCGCCATCATTATTGTCAATCCTTACATGCTTCACTGTTATTAATTCTTCTTCTCCTCGATCCACCTTAAAGAATGGTTTATCACCATTTCCCAATAATTGATTTAACAATATTGTTGGAGTTACCGATCTTGATGGAAGTAAGGTCGAGGCGGAAGAAATATCAGTTTCGATTGAAGAGATTGATTGCGATATAAATTGATTATGATTATGATGATGGAGATAACCATTGCCGATATTGGTATTAAAGCTAACAATTTCTTCGACATTATCATCATCATCGTAATAATTGTTGTTTTTGTTATGATGGTTATTTGAAGAAGATGATGATAAAAGACTTTTTAGTGATTTTGATGAGGCCTTCTTTAATAAAGATTTTGTTGCAGAAAAAGCAGTACTTCCAATGCTCTTATTATTACTGCTACTGTTGTTATTGTTATTATCATTATGATTATCATTTTGTTGCGTACGATCCCTTAAAAGAAAATATTAGGAGATAATTGATATATATGGCCTTTACATAATTTTACAGATGATGATATTTATTAATATCGACGATGACAATGACGACGATGTCATATAAATATATTATTACCTGACCAGGAAATATTAATTAATGTTAATTAATTAATTAATTAAATTTGGGATTTTTTTTTTATTAAAAAAGTGCAATAGGATATATATAATGTGAACATTTGATAGTCAGTTGTCAATGATAAAATTACACAATATAAATAAACACTGTAAATTCCTTTATATTCCAAGTTTGTAATGGTTTTTGTAATGCAAACAGAATAAATAAAAAACATATAAAAAACTACTTTACTACTTGCATATATAAAACTTATTTTAATATTTATTTTTTTCCTAAATTCAGAGATAAACATTATTTAATATTACATGTGTGTGTGTATATGCATATACATATACTTATATTGTTAACAATTTTTTCCTTAACAAAAGACAACCTTTAACTTTGTAATTTATGAAGATTCAAAAAATTTTTTTTTGAATTTTTTTTACGAATATAGACTTTTCTTAATATTAATATTCATAGAATATTATATTAATAGTAATAGTAACAGAAAATAGTCATAACAATTAATTATTATCAACTTCTTGTTAAATAAACCATTAATCAAATAATTTATTATTATTAAAAGAAAGAATGTCAAGAATAATAATTAATGACAATACATGGATAGAAATCAAGGATCCACATACTGCACATATCTTTTATGCTAATCCTGTAAGTAAACAAACATCAATTTAAAAGTCCCAATTCTCGATTGAGCGAACGATTTAGACGGTCCAAGAATGCAATTATTTGTCAATTAAAACGAACGATTAAATAATAACTTTCTTCTCTCTTACATATATAGGAAACTGGGGAATGTTCATGGGAACGGCCAAAAAACTCCAACATGTAAGTTAATTATTAATTTTTCTTTGGGTTTTTTTTTTTTCAATATTAATTTAATCTAATTTCAATCACATATCTGAATAAAAAAATTAGACAACAAAAGGATCCAAAGGGTGAATGGTGGGAATTATGGGATGAGGCTCATCAATTGCCGTATTATTATCATACATTGACTGGTAGGACAGAATGGATTCAACCTGAATTTGGTACTATAATCCCTTTAACAAAAATCCAGGTAATGAATGATATTTTGAATTTGAATTTGAATTTGAATTTGAATTTGAATTTGAATTTGAATTTGAATTTGAGTTTGAGTTTGAGTTTGAGTTTGAGTTTGAATTTGAGTTTGAATTAAAGTTTGAGTTTGAATTAAAGTTTGAATAATTTTAATGTTTGAATTGCTGCTAATTCCTTTCTTCATATCACCACCAGAATTCATCAATAGGCAAAAGGATTTCAATGGCATTGACACCAGATGACGAAGATGATATTTTACAATTAAATTTAGCAATTCAAGCAAGAGACAACAAAAATAGGATTAATGATAATAATAATAATAATAATAATAATAATAACAACAATAATAATAATAATAATAGTAGTAATAATAGTAATAGTAATAATAATAATAATTTATTAAGTGTAAAGAACGCAATAAATATTAATAATCATTCAAAACTCCACAACAACCACCACCATAACCACCACAATAATGATTATTTATCGTCACCATCATCATCATCATCATTGTCATCATCATTTTCAAATAACATTGATAATTTTTTGTATCCACCAAATTCACCAACAAGATCATTCCAATCATTCATGACTGTTGATTCTACCGAAAATATCAACAATAATGGCAATAACAACAACTACTCAACGTCTCCACCACTTTCTCCAACTTCAGCAGTTTCTTTTCATTGCAATTCACATTCCGATTCAGATAACCCCCCTAAAAGTAATATCGCTACTAAAGGGCGAAGAAATAAAGAGTAAAGAAGGAGGAGAATGAAAAGAATTGAAGTTAATTAAAT